CAGCTCACACCATGTTTCTAGACTGGGCCTTTGCTGTGGGAAATGCCTCCTGTATTTATTTCTTGAATCATAGTGGTTGTAAACTTCAGTGGACACTCAATGTTTTCATAACAGATTTTCATGCTGTTGGACAATTCAGATTTTGTTTAAAAACACGAACACAAAATAATTGTTTGCAGAAAAGGAAACTCAAGGACTCAAAAAGGGGAAGATAAATCTTATATTTGAGCCAAGTAAAAAAAATCAGTGATTGAGCATGTCTGGGGGAGTCAGGACCCCCACCCCCGCCCCATGCCTTGCTCAAATATTCTAAAGAAATAGTTAATGCAGCCTAAATTTAAAACTAAGTTTCCAATGGTGCTCTCTAGCACTTTCCATTATTAGGTCAAACCAAATGGTAATGCATTTGACCACTTCAATTTATAAAATAGTAATTTTGTGTCATTTGGCCTAAAAATCTAAAATGTTTGAGGAGTCTGTTACAGGCAAGCATCCTAAAGGACAAAGAACTGAAGCATGACTGGGGCGGAAATGCAACCCCTTAGAAACTCTAGGTAGCACATCAATAAAGGGTGGTTTTCACTGGTGGCTTAAAAAGTATGTTGAGTTTTTAAAAATTGATTTGAATGCAGCAGTTAGCGAATCATAGATGCACTTATAAGAGCTTTATTACAACTTCCCAGAAATCCATTGTTAAAACTCCAAACTCTATTTTCTAAGTGAAAAAAAATTACCAAAACAGATTAACAGCTTGGTTATGCTTGTTGTTTTGCTTTATTTTTAATGGCGAAGCCGCTTGTAAGCAGAGAACACACTGGGTGGATGTTATCAAGCCTTTAGGCTGAGCATCATGCCTGATGTATGGTGGCAGCTGACTGGAAGTGAAAGAACAAGAAAATGCTTTTCTTAAGCTACAGGGACAGGTTACCTAGTAACCACTGAATGATTAAATTCTGTTCACAGAGACTTGTTCTCTTAATTGGACAAAAAGATTTAAGGAACACAGCTGGGGAGGGACTGAGGTGACTGAGGTCCATGACAGCTATTAGTGGGCCTTGCATCTGCAGTCCCAGCAGCCTTCACTGAAGGGCCACAGTATGAGTGAATCTTTTGTTTGTAACAAGAAGCCAAGGAGGCTACCTACAGTATCATAATTTTTGCTCTTTTCAATTGTAGGAAAAATTAAAATAAATGTGGAAAATAAATGTGGAAAATAAATGTGTATATTAAAGAGTGCAGGGCAAACTCCATGTGGTGTTAGAATTCTGAGACTGATCATTTTCTATGGATTATTTTCTCTTATCGATTTCTAAGATTTTGTGTTCAAAATCTTAGTTTATCCCTTAAGAGAACTCTGTTTGGGGTCAGTTTTTCCTATGATCACTCTCTTCGGTGTATCTGCACTTTTTGTCTCTTTTTGAGGCACATATTGTTTTATAGAGAATTATGGCCATTTCCTGTTCTCTTCTGCTTTAACAATAACACTGAGAATAATCAAGTCATAGGTTGACAATAAAGATTTTTTCATCCATAAAGGGCCTTTAGATGATATTGTAACTTCTTCCAGTGCTCAAAAAATGACTCACTATATAAGTCACCAACTATAACTGGAGAAGCTCTACCTTAGAGTCACCTGCCTTTCAGCAAGTCTCTCACTCCTTCCATTCCTTAAGATTTGTAGATTTCTATCACCTTGGCTTGCCAGCCTTTCTCACAGGCATACAGCTTAAAACTTTCCTAAAGCCCCCTCTAGTGACAAACAGCAAATTAATCCATTACTTCATAATATGCTAATACCTCCAAGCTCTAAAGTTCCAGCCCTCATTTAGTTATGAGGTGAAGCAATAGCTATAGTCTTTTGACTGGAGAATGAGATGGTCAGTAGCTTGAATTCCCAAGCATTCTTTAGTCGCTAAAACCTAAGAGATTTTGTTCTGATGCTGAAGTCAACACAAAGTGCACACACACTATTAAATTATATTTCTTTAACTCTGCTGTGGTATGTATTCCTTAAAAATATTTCCTAAGTGTTCTTCATTTTTGTCCTCCGGAGACTTTAAAGATTAAAATATGCTCCTAATAATCCAATGGATGGAAAAAGATTATCTTGGCCTTTACCTCTCATTCCATTGTTTTTACTGCATTTATAGGATAATTTTCATTGATGGTGCTAAGCATGTCCAAGCAAATATGAATTTCAGGAATTCTCTGAATTATGAAACTAAAGGTCATTTACAATGATACAGATTGAATGTATATATAAAAATATAGTACCTTTAAAACTAATGTGTAATAAAATATAATAACCTATATATTATATGTATTAATTAGGCTCTGTATTATGGTATGTAAAATATATAGTTTTTTATTTATATGTCCATTTCCAAAGGGCTCAAAGCTCATTTTATAAAATATAGGTGTAATTGAGCCATTAAAATAAGAGTAAAAGGATAAAAGCCATCTGCTTAGGGAATTAAAGAGGTAAATAGAAAAATTGGCTATGAATTATTATTGCAACTGAGCATAAATCTTAGTTTTGAGATTTCTGTCACCAAGACAAAAAGAAAAACCCAATTATAAAATAAAGCATTCCAGCCCTGGCTGGTGGCTCAGCTGGTTGGAGTGTTGTTCTGTACACCAAAAAGGCCACGGGTTTGATTTAAATCGGCACATACCTACACATAGAGGGCACATACCTGCTGGTTCGATCCCTGGTTGGGGCATGTGCAGAAGGCAGCCGACTGATGTTTCTTTCTCACATCAGTGTTTCTCTTTCACATCAATGTCTCTCCCTCTCTCGTTCTCTCTCCCTTCCTCTCGAAAATCAATGAACATGTCCTCGGGTGAGGATTAAAAAAGAAAAAAAAAAAGTAAGCATTCCAATCTATTAGGGAGTAAAAGGTTTTCTTTCTAAAATACAGATACCAAGTTTCTAGATTTCAATTACAAAAATATACCACTGGAGTAATTTAATGGTGAGAAATTCATGTTTAAATATTGACCCAAAGGTCTTCAGGAATGCTTACTCTCCAAGACCACTGAGCTAGCGGTGATTGTTCCAATGGGAGAGTGTTCCCGAGAGTTAACTCTACAATAAACCCATACCAGCAGCCCGTGCATCTGCCCATGGGTTAACTCTTGGGACTAGCAACCAGAGAAGAGCTTCTCTCTCTTATTTATACACACACAGTAAAGACCAAGGACAAATTAAATCGCTCTTACGATAACAGTTCACTGCTAAAATTGGAGAGGAAAAAAAAACCCCATCATGCACTTCTTGAAAGAACTGGAACAAAATACTTAGAAATAAGAAAATGAAGATGAAGATGACTTCAGTTGAAGTTGGATACCAAGCAATGTTGTCTTCAGAACCTTTTTCCAATTGCTGTCCTCTCCCAATCATTTTCTATTTCAAAGAAAAATCTACTTTCATAAGAGGAGCTGGCATTACCTTTGTGTGAATCAAGTCAACGTGTTGCCTCTCCCAGGGGTGTTTTGTCCTTTAAGCTTTAGCTCTAATTTAATTTAACAATTGCTTACTGGAGGCCTGTTACACACAAGGTGCTTTCCAATGCTATTAGTAGAGTAAAAGGCTTCATGTTTTTAAATAGGGATATCAAGCTTAATGAGTAAGTAGGAAAGAGAGTTTTTGTTCCCTAATATCTGAGTCTCTGCACCCGTACCCTTTTAAATGACTTTTGCTGTTGGGGGTCAAAGAGCCATCATACACAATTCCACATTCCTCACTTCTGGACCTAATTTTCTCCTTTCCCTAGAGGTTCAGAGAACAAGAAGTTCAGATGTTACTGTAACGAGATTTCTGGCTTAATTCCCTTTCCTTGACGTAGGGTCTAGACTTACTAGCTTATGCATAGAATCCCTTGACACCCCAGTTCTTCAGAGGCAACAGCTTTAGAAGAGAGAAAACTATTATTTGTTGAACAGCTTGCTTTATTTGCCAGGCACTGTACATATTAATCCTTGCAACTACAAAGTTGTAGCATCTTTTGCACTTTGAAAAGCACCTGAGGTTCAGAATGGTTTAGAAACTAATTCAAAATCTAGGTGACAAGTAGCAGAAAACTCGCAATTAAATTCCACATATCTGGTTCCAAAACCAATACTCTTTCCATTACAGCAGTAATTCTCAAACGGAGGAGGGAGGGTGCAATGTTGCCCCCCCACCCCAGGGGACATTTGGCACTGTCTGGAGACATTTTTATCGCAAATAGGGGTGATGTGGGTGGATTGCTACTGGCATCTAGTGGGTAGAGGCCAGGGATGCTGCTAAACATTCTACAATGCACAGGACAGCCACTCCCCCCACCCCCCAAACAAAAAAGCATAGGTCCAGCCCCAAATGTCAGTGGAGCTCTGCTATGAGCCGCGCTCCCTGCCTTATTCTGATCTTATTTCCAAAATTAAACAAATTGTAAATTAAAAAAAAAAATTGATGTTAGACCTCTGTTCTCTCATAAAGGAAAACAGACTGGCGCCCTAAAATAAAAAGGGCGTGGTTCGGAGGGAGTGAGAAAGGAAGCTCAGGAAGCAGAAAGGAAATACAAACTGCCTGCTGTGGTTAAGAATTAAGACATAAACGTAGATGTTTTTCATTCCCAGGATTTTCACTAATTCAAATGTTCACGGACTGTTTTGAAATTTAATTATTTGGAACTGGTTAAACGATACCCTAACTTGAACCAACACTTGGCATTTGACTTTTTTCCAGGACCCAGGGGATGGGCATACCAGATGAGACCACCTCTCCCCGCTCTTCCCGCAGGGGCAAGGTCTGCCAGGTGCTGGTGGCTGGGCTCCTGCCAGAAAGCCGCTCTCTCGTTGATTGGCCGGATCCCAGAAACAGACTGGCGCCTGTGGCACTTCTCCTGCGCTGTCTCTCAATCCCCGCTGGCTCTCCCCACTCCCGGTACTCCTGGGGGCGGAGCTGTTGGAGCTCACGTCCTGCGCCGTGACGTCACAATCCCGACGCCCTGGAACCGGCCCTTAGCAACCGTCCTGGCGACGGTCTCCAGCCGCTGCCGCGCTCAGCCGCCACCTGCTTGACAATCTTCTGCTGCAGGGCCTGCCCCAGGCCGGGGAAGGACCGAAGGGAACCCAGCGTGTCCCCAGGGCGGCTGCAAGAGGATCTAAGCATGAATGGCAGCCGAAGAGGTAAAGGGCGCCGTCTAGCGCCTCGCACTGGCCGGAGCTCCAGGCCTCGGGCCCAAGGTCTGGGGTCCGTGTCCGAATCCGAGACCGCGCTGCGCGAGTCGGCGCCGCGCCCGGGGCGCTCACCGCCGCCTGCTTAGTCTACATTGTGGACCTGAGTGTTGCCTGGGTGGAGAAGCGTCTACTTTGGGGGTTCGCGGGCCCACTGCTTGCTGAGAATTTGTCGCCCTTGACTCCAGGAGGCCCTGTCCCCTGAACTCGGGGCCATGCAGCCTTTATTAATTCCCTTGGTGGCTCTGCGCACAGGAGCCAAATTTGGTCTTTGGAGTCAGACCTCCTTGGGCCCCCGCTGCACTCAACAAAAGCGATCCTCAGTATCCTCATCTCTTCTTCGTGGGGGTAAAACACCCATGTCACAGAGTTCATGAGGATTAAATGCAGATAATACAAATAAAGCTCCTGGCACATTAGGTTACTCAGTAAACATGAAATGTCCATTCTGTAACCACCTCCCTCCCCTCAAAACTCTTCAGTAACCCCGGATTCTGTAACTTTAAAGTGGATAGAAATCACCAGGAATCACGTTAAAATGCAGATTATGATTCAGCAGATCTGGTGGGGGGTGGGGCTGATATTTTGCTTTTATAGTAAGTTTTCAAGTGATGCAACGTTGCTGGCTGCAGTTTTAGCACCAAAGAACTAATCCATCATCACTCTGTACACCTTCCCTTGATTGAATACTCTCTGGGTCACGTGGACATCACCGTGGAACAGTTGGGGCCATATAACTAAATCTCTACAAATCATTGGCAAATCGAAATTATTTGTATCTTCACTCTCTGAACAAAGTAGCACTCCTCCTTCAAGCCCAATTAGGCAATCTCCAGTGAGACCCTGTTCTCCCTATTTTAGTGTTGTTATGTATTTTAAAAAGTACCTTTAAACCAAGCTGCTACATGGTTCATGTAATAAGTCTTGCTTTGAATATGATTGTGCCTTTATTGTGCAATTATTAGTCAAAATAAGTGCTGTTCTAAATAGAGGAGATAACTATCCATTGATTAGCAAACTGTATCCTGACACTTCCCGGCCTAAGTTCCAGAGATCACAAACCAACATGTTTTTGTGGTTTTCAGAAATTTTATAACATAAACTAACACTAAGCCCTATTTCCAAGTTATCTCATTATTTGAGCCACACAAACATATTGTTAGATAGGTATTATCCTCATTTCACTGTGAATACACACTGGAGACTAATAAACTAAGAGAACATAGATAACTTGCCACAGTCGCAGTAAGTGTCAGACCAGTCTTTGAATTCAGGTGGAGAATATGAAACCCTAGAGCCATGGTTTTCACTTATCATCAGATTCCCAAACTTCTGTCATCTCTAGGAAATTCTGCCACAAGAAACACCTTCCTCCTTCCTCATTCGAGTTCCTTCTGGCTACCTTAGTGACATCACATTGTTTAGGGAACTCAGCTGCTTGCACACACTGATGCATTTCACTACCCTCGGAAGACCTTTGATCTTAGGGACAGGATTTTTGTCCTAATCTAGATAAAGGATGATATTTTTTTCCTGGCATTTGGTTTGACGTTACTTTTTCATGGCCCTTATCAATTTGGGTCCAATCAGAAGATAAGAACCATAACATGATTTAAACAAGGAAGTTTAAAGAACTGTTAAACTGTCATAAAAGAGTAACTATAAGACATAAGAAATCTCTGTAGTACCCAAGAGCCAAAGGAGAATTCTCAGTGAAGGACAAATTTGGAAGGAAGACTTCCAAATATAGACTGTTTAGGTAGATCCATGTAAGAGGAGAGTGAGTTGCACTAGATGAACCTTAAGACACCTTTTAAACATTAAGTTCTGATTCTGACTTTTATATACTCGTATGTGTACTCATTTTATGCATAGTAACATGATATCATTTCTAATTCATTCAATTACTTTGTGCGAGGATTATTTTCTTAAAATTCTTACAAGAGACTAGCTTGTAACTAACTGAAATAGTTAATACACATGTATTAACTTTAAATCTTAGTTCTTTTGTATCTCAAAATCATTAAAAAACCCAGTAGGTCAGTGGTGTACAGAATGAAGTCAGTATATATCCAGTAACATAATTGATGTATTTATCATTTTACCCAATGAAACTGAAGTCTCAGGGTACAGCTGTTTTCAAAATAACTTGTTTGCTTAAAGGAGAAAACTTTTTACCAATGGCTGCAGAATTTTTGTCTCTCTGATATATCATCTCTTGTTAGTAATATGATTGACTGAAGCTTTCAACAACTTCTAGTATCAAAGATAAGTTTATTATTTTTTAAATGTTTAATATCGTTGCCGAGATCAGGTGGCTCAATTGGTTGGAGCACCGTCCTGCACACAGAAAGGTTGCGGATTCAGTCCCCTGTCCAGGTGTATATGGGAGGCCAATCAGTGCTTCTCACATCAATTTTCTTTCTCTCTCTCTCCCCTTTCTGCTCTCTCTCTAAAAATCAGTAAAAACATATCCTTAGGTGAGGGGAAAAAAAGTGTTCAATACTGTTGTCTTTGCGAAAGTTGTGTTTCATTGATACTAATTAATTTTTTTGTTAAAAGTCAGAGCACCCTCTGTCCTCCCCAGATCTGGTCCATCGTGCTTATTTAAAGGACACTTGAGCACCAAAAGTAATGGTAAGTGAGGTACTCAAAGTGGTGAAAGGTGGTTTGGGAAAGATTGTTTCCTTTATTTGTGAATTATGACATGATGAAAAAATTCAATCAATATTTGAACTTCATATTATTAATTATAATTAAATATTATAGGAATTCTTGAGATTAATTTAGGAGCCCATTATTTCAAACTGTTATTGTGCCTGGGATGTGGATTTGGTGCCTCCCGTCCCTGGTGCGGCTCCCGCCCAGCTCTGCTCCTTGCTGGCAGCTGCCTGGCCTAAGTCGGGCAAAGTGGTGATTGGCAGGTTGCTAAAGACACAAGCACTGGCAGGAAAAGTTGTGCAGGGAAAGTGCATTTTGTATAAGGAGCAAACATGGGCCTCTTTATTCAACTGGATTTCTAAGTCTTATGACAGGACAATATTTTAAAGCCTTTAAAGTAAAATTTTAATGTAACCTTAAAATATATTTTTATAATTATAGTTTAAAAGTTTTAAGTGTGGGTTTTAGGCATAATAATTAAGTCATTTTTTTCTTTATTTATATGAAAAATCTTTGATACTCCTTCCTCCAAATGTGAAGGAAAGATCAGTTTCAGTTTCCTCACTTATTTCTTTGTAACACATACAGCCAGAATCAAACTTTGAAAAATAGCATTTAACTAAAAGTTGAAAATTTGATTTAAAATATATTTACATAGAAGACGGGGATGAAGAACAATATATATAGTTTGTTGAGTTTTTTTTAAAGAATATATATGCAGTTATGTGTAGTGGTTTTAAGTATGAGGCTGCCTAAGTTAACATCTAAACTGCATCTTTTATCAAGCTGCGTGATCTTAAAGACCTTACATCTTTGTGCCTCAGTTGCCGTATCTATTAAATGGTGATAATAATAATTAAATGAGTTTTTACATGTAAAGAGCTTAGAGCAATGCATGCATGGTACCTATTCAATAAGTGTTTGTAGTAGAGTAGTATCATTATTGTCATTATTGTATATTCTTATATTATCATTATCATTGTGTATTCTTATATTATGCATAGAATTTCCCTGGAAGGATGCATTAAAAAATAACAGTATTCTTTCTAGGAGGGAAGGCAAGGGTCGAGAAAGCCACTTATTTTCAATCTTTGTATACTGTTTCAGGTTTTGATAATTTTTTTTAACTACATGTGTGTATTACTTCTTAAGAACTGTTTCTAATGTTTAAGGAAGTTATGCCTGCATTTACATTTTATACTTCTACTTTAAGTGCTTGATTATTTATAAGATTTCTTCTAAACAGTGTAGATGAGGTCAAGAAGTTTAATGTAGTAGAATACTTCAAAAAGCTTACATTGGCCAATTTGGAGATCTTGTTAAAGTTAGAAGTTTGCCTCTTAGAATAGGATTTTTGCCTAGAGTTTTAGAGTTTGGGATTTGTTTGATTTCCCAGACTCCATGTATTCAAGTATTAACAATGGTAGCATTTTACAATGAGGCAAGTGGCTAAACATTTTTAGTTAGAAGATTGAGAGCTGTTGATAAGAATAGTTTTATAAATATAGTGATAGATTATATTCTGGAATCTCTTCTCAAAAGTCCCCAGCTTGTGCCACTCATTCTTAGAAAGGCTTGACAGCCCGTCAGTTGCCAGTGGAAGATTAAGGCTGGGGCACCCTCGGCATCACAAAATTATGTCAGTGTCTTTGTGGGTGAATTTCGGAATGTTGCATTACAATGGGCTTTATACTCAGGAAACTGTTTACCTCGTGATGATTTTTATATTAATTTTAAATATATAATGATTAAATATGTTTTAATTTTTAGCTTTTTGCACTGACTCCTCCTCTCTCAGACTAAGTACTCTCCACATGGTCAAGAATCACATGGCTGTTCACTATAGTAAAATCCTTTCAGCCAAAGGTAAAAAAAAATGTGCAAATGTGAACTTTCCATACCCAATGTAAACCCTTGACTTTACTTCTAATTAAAATAAATCCATAGCAAAAATGAATACGTTATATACCTATGCTGGTGTTTTGTATAGACTTGCAGGGGTGTCCAACCTGTGGCCCACTGGCCACATGCAGCCCAGGATGTCTATGAATGTGGCCCAACACAAAAGTATAAATTAACACAAAAGTATAAATTTACTTGAAACCTTTTTTTTGCTCATCAGTTTTCATTAGTGTTTGTGTTTTTAATGTGTGGCCCAAGACAACTCTTCTTCTAGTGTGACCCAGAGAGGCCAAAAGGTTGGACATCCCTGGTAGAAATACCAGCTACTGTCTCTAACTTTATATTCATAGAAAATTCAGAACACCATTTTGTTAACTGACTTTGAAATTTGTATAGTGCCTATGTTATTTCCTTTTACCTGTCTTATCCTTGGTATTATTTTGTGGTTAGATATTAATTTTAATATGTTTATAATCTACTTTTTCATTTTAAAATATATTAAAGAAGTTGCACACAGACGATGCTAACTAATCTCTTTTTCTCTTTTAGTCAGTTTTACTGAGATAAACTTACATACAGAAAATATACTAATTTTAAATGTACAGTTATTTTTTAAAATATATACGTTTGTCTGACTACCACCACAATCATGCTGCAAAGGAGACTGGCCAACTGTAGCTCACAGGCCAAATCTTCCTGCCACCTGTTTTTGCACAGCTTGTGAACTAAGAATGGTACTTGTATTTTTCAGTGGTTGGAAAAAATCAAAAGAAGAATATTTGTAACGTGAAAGTTATATGAAATGCAAATTTCACTGTCCACACACAAACATAGTCACGTCCCTTCTTTCATGCATTGTCCAGGGTGGCTTTTGCACTCGCAGACAGAGTCGGCTGGTTGCCACACCGACTGCGCCCCCGACAGAGCCTGGAGCAGTTCCTCTGTGACCCTTTGCAGAGCACCTGTGCCAGCCCCTGCTGTAGAGCACCCATCACTTGGAAAGCTCCCCCTAGTCCTTTGCAACCAGTCTCTTCACCACCATCCCTAGCAACCACTGATCTGCGATCTAACTGTAGTTTTTGCCTTTTCCAGAATGTCATATGAATAGAATCATACAGTATGCATCATTCTGGGCCTGGCTTTGTCCAGTGAGCTAATGCTTTTGAGACTAATCCATGTCCTTGTGTATAACAGTATTTTTTCCTTTATATTGCTAAGATAGTATTCCATATAATGAAATATACCACAGTTTATTGATTTACCAGTTGGCGGACATTTGGTTTATTTTGACTCACTTTTGACTATGAGGAATAAAGCTGCTATAAACAGTCACATATAATCTTTGAACATATGTTTCTATTTCCCCAGATAAATTTATTTACTAGGAGTGGGATTGTGGGGTGATACAGCAAGTGTATTTTAACTCTATGAGAAGCTGCCGAACTGTTTTCCAGAGTGACTATACCATTTTCACTTCCATATCCTCATCAGCATTTAATAGGGTTTTAGTTTGTATTTTTCCAGTGCCTAATAATGTTAAACAACTTTTCTTGTGCTTATTTGCCATTTTTATCTCTTCTTTGGTGAAATACCTGCTTAAATCTTTTGACAATTTTTAAAATCAGTTGTTTGTCTTCTTAGTATTAAGTTGTGAAAGTTCTTATGAAATACAGGTCCTGTGTCAGATACATGTCTTAGAAATATTTTCTCCTAGTCTGTAACTTGTCTTTTCGTTTTCTTTTTTAAATTTTTATTTAAAATAATTTTAAATGTATAAAAAAGTTGTAAAGATAGTAGAGAGTCACAGAAACTCTTTCCCCAATGTTAAAAATCTTACATAATTATATTACAATTATTAAAATCAGGAAATTAATATTGATATAATACTATTAACTGCAGACCTTATTTGAATTTCACCAGTTTTTCACTAACACATTTTTTGTTTTTCCCATTTGAAAGGCTAAAGTTTTTAAATTTTAGTTCATATTTTTGACATATTTTAAATGATTGAAAATCTGAAGAAAAATATTTTGTGACATGCGAAGTCAAGATCAGCTTTTCAAGTTTTAAGTAGTTTATGCTTCTTATATCTTCTTTAAGAAACCTGTGCCTACTCTTAGGTCACTGAGGTTTTCTTACTTGCTTTCTTCTAGAAATATAAGCTTTAGCTCCTACATTTAAGTTTGTGATCCATTTTTTGTTAATTTTTGCATATGGTATGATAGATATAAGGATCAAAAATTTTTTTTTCCTATGAGTTTCCAAATATAACCAGGGCTGTTAGTTGAAGCACTATTCTTTCCCTGTTGATTTACCTTAGCACTTTTTGAAAAACAATTTATCATATATGTGGGTCTATTTCTGGGCTTACTCTTCAGCTCTGTTGTTCTAAATGCGTATCTTTATTATAATAGCACACTGTCTTAATTACTATACAATTACAGTAAGTCTTGAAACCAAATAATATGCGTCATGCAGTTTTGCTTTTTCCCCCCAAGTTTTGAGATTTGCCAATTACAAGTATGCTGAGTGCCTGATACAGGTGGGTTAGGTCAGTGATGCTCTCTGTGTGTTTATTTTCCAGCCTTTCTTCACTGTGTTTTGCTTTGAATAGTCTATATTTCTGTGTCTTTAAGTTCACTAGTATTTTCTTTTGTAGTATTTAGTGAGCTGTTAATCTCATCCAGTGTATTTTTTTATCAAGCATATTATATTTTTCATCTCTAGGAGTACCATAAAAGTCAAAATAAAGAACTGCAAGTACTGGAACTTTCTGTGATTTCCACATTCAATATTTGTTGTCATTTATAAATATTAAGAATATTATTAAACAACTGATTTTCTTGATTTTCTTCTTTCAGCTGTGGTAGACTGCTCCGTTCCACTCAGCATGACTGCCAGCATCAAATGTAAGTAACTTTTGACATATTGCCCTTTTAAAAAATTATGGTACACTACACATAACATAAATTTACCATCTTAACTATTTTTAAGTGTAGTCCAGTGGCATTATGTACATTCATATTGTGGTACAACCATCACCACTATCTATTCTCAGTAGGACACCTTTTATCCTGCAAAACTGAAGCTCCATCTACTAAACAATAACTCCTCCCCCGCCCAACCACTGCTCTGCTTTCCGTCTCTATGAATATGACTACTCTAGGTATCTCGTGCAAGCGGAATCATACAGTGTTTTTCCTTTTCTCACTGGTTTATTTCACTTAGCATAATATCCTCCAGATTCATCCATGTTGTAACATATGTCAGAACTTTCTTCATTTTGAAGGTTGAATAATATTCCATTTTATGTATATACCATATTCTCTTTGTATATTCATAAGTCAGTGGGCATTTGGGTTGTTCCCACCTTTTGGCTATAATAAATAATCTTTTATGGACATAGATGTACAGATATCTCTTTGACACCCTGCTTTCAGTTCTTTTGGGTATACAGGAAGTGACGTTGCTGGATCATACTGTAATTCTATTTGTAACTTTTTGAGAAACCATCATATTGTTGTCTATAGCAACTCTATATCATTTTGTATTCCCACTAATGGTGTACAAGCGTTCCAGTGTCTCCACATCCTCCCCAACACTTGTTTTTTTTTTTCTTTTTATAGTAGCCATCCTAATGGATGGTGGCATATTGCCCTTTGAGGAAACATTTTCTAACTTTTAAATATTATCCATAAATAAAAGTAGCTTGTATTTCTAAGACTATGAATTTAGAAATGAACACAGACTTTGCCACTAAATTGCCGTATGACTTTGTATAAATTATTTAACTGCTCTGGATTTCATGTCTTCTGCATATAAAAATATGGGTAATACTAAATGGCTTGCCAAGGTTTAAGTTCTAGAATTCTGTGATTCTACCTATACTTGGTTTGTTAAGATTACTGAATTATTCTCAAGGTGCATATTGTCTTGTTTATATCCTACTAGCCTAACTAATAATAAACATGGTAGTTGTATGTATTTGAAAAGCCATATTGACATATGATATTATAGAATCATGTTATATATACCCTTTGACTAAATATTCTGATTTTTAGAAATCTGTACTAAGGAAATAATCATACCAAGAAATGTGAAATTCCTATTTTAAAATATTCTCAAAAATACAATTTGAGGCCTTTGTTTGAGTTCAAGTCAAGAAACTTAAAAACAAAGAACAGGAATATCACAGCCAGTGCTTATCTTATAAAAATCATAGTGTTATAAATTTTAAGTTCCGTGTTTTCTTAAGTGACTATTTCAATTTAATTATTTATAGTTTAATTGAGAAAGGCTTACCGCAATAAAAAATAATTACCAACCCAAGGCAGTGCATGCTAAATCGTGAGAGAACGAGAGCCTGGATTGGGAAATGCCCAGCAGGCATAGCCTAGGGAAGCCCACAGACAGCAGGCTTGGCTGGACCCGTCTCTCCCTTTCTGTCTTCTCTGAGGAAGAGACAGAGCTTGGGTGAGGCCAGTCACCACCAGCTGCCATTCAGAGAGCGCGGCGTCTGTCAGCCCCGTGGCCGGCTCTCTGTGCTCTCCCCTTCTGTTCCCTTTATGTTTGCAACAAGCCCTAGGGCAGGCCGTCACATCTTGGAAGACATTTTTGGATTCAGATAATGTTTAGGAGAGGTAAAGTCGTTCTAGGCAGGAGTCGGGACTTGAGTGTATATGTTTAAAGACCATTTGCTCACAGCACACAAGTTAGGTGGGCAAGTCATTTTTACCTTTCTCATCGTCTTTTGTAAAATGAAAGGTAATTACATAATTTCTAAGGACCTTTCCATATTTTTAATTTTTATGCCTTACAGTTTTTCTTCTGTATCATATTGGTAGCTTGTTATTGCACACAAAACTGGTTCAATATTTACAGGCTTTAAAAATCTGAATCATTTGAATTGATATGGTTTCGCCCAGTTGTCATTAGATCAGATCATCTTCTTTAACTAGGATCACCACTAAATGGAAAAATTTTGCTAAATTTTCATACAGAAATTAATTTCCTGAACAATAGGTAATAAAATAAGATTATTTCTTTTTATTTAGGTTTTATAATAAAAAGCCTGAATGTATTAATCCTCATAACCAAACTTGGATTTAAAGTCTAAATCTACCAATTTAAAATAATTAGGCATTTTGTGTAATACTTAGGTCACTGGTTTATTCATTGATTAATTCAGCAGATATTTATTGGGCCTACTGTGTGCTAGACACTGTCCTAAAGGATGGGACTAAATGGGTGAACAAAACAAAGTACCTGCTTTTACAGAGCTTACATTCTAGTTGAAGGAGACAAACAATAAGCAAATGCAAAGAAATAAGTAAATATAGAATAAGTCAGATGGTGGTAAGTGCAGTGGCAAAAAATGAAGCACAAGAAAAGGGAGACCAGGCACCCTTGGAGGAGAAAGAACCACTGAGAAGGTGACAATGCAGCAGAGACCTGCAACGGTTAAGGGAAAGGCCAGGGGCTCTCTGGGGGAAGAGCAGCCCAGACAGAGGAAACAGCGGGTGCAGAAGCCTTGAAATGGCATCCTGATTGGAGTATTCAGGGAACAGCAAGGCGAGCTGGATAGCTGGTGTAAAGGCCAGTGGAAGAGTGAAAGGAGGTGAGGCCGTTGGGATGGGACAGACATGCAGACCCTGTCCGGCTGTGGCCATTGGCCAGCACGTTGGGTTTTACTCTGAATGAGACTGGAAGCCATTGGAGGAGTAACGGAGCCAATTTAACTTTTAAAAGCATCTCTCTGGCTACCAAATTGAAAATAGTCTATAAGAGTGAATGGCATAAGCAGAAAGAATAGTTAGGAAACTAATCCAGATGAGAAATGATAACGTGGACCAAAGTGGGAGTGTGAAATGGCTGGATTCTGTAAACATTTAAAATGTGTGCCAACAGTTTTTACTGATGGACTGGATGTAGTAGGATATGAGAGAGAAAGAGGAGTGGGCTGAGGAGGACTCCCAGCCAAGACTTAGAGCCTACCAACCAAAATGACAGAGTTTTGATACACCGAAGTTAGGAACGCAACAGAAAGAGATTTAGGGGAGGAAATGAATCCAGAGATCAGTCTTTGTCGTTATAAGTTTGAAATTAATAGCTCGTAGAAAGCCACGTGGAGATTCTAGGAGGCGGAATACAAGTCTGGAGTTCAAGAGAGAGTTCCAGGATGGACGTGAAACTTTGGGAGTTGAGAGTACTTTAAAAATTGCTCCTATTTTTTGTTTTTAGAATTCAGACCTAGCTAGTGCTTATTTATCCCATGGCATTTTCTGCTTAGTCAGTTGAAGCAGGAGTTTTTCTCTGGTGCCATGTAAATGAAGAAAATTGACTAGAAGAATTGTGAAGATTGCAGTCACTAAAGTATAACTAATAATCATTATTCTTGTGTTATAGAGTTGACGTTCATTATAATCAGTAGAACTTACAAACAACTTTTATAGATACATTTAAAAAGAGAGAGAAAGAAAGGCATCCCTGGGTTGGAGCCATCTCTGTTTTTAAAAGAGATGACTCAGCAGACTGCCGACTGGATGATTTCAGGCTTCATAGTGTCTAACCTAGAATTTCTCTACATAGCTTATTGAATTGTTTAAATAATTCCATATTCTAATGCATTAGAAAGACTTTATTTTTAGAGCAGTGTTATTCATACCACGAAAGTCACTGATTTTTAGTAAGTTTTAAAAATCATACAACTACCACCACAAACCAATTTAAAATATTTTCATTCCCCCCAAAACATGCCTTCTTCCCATTTTCAGCTCCTCCCTCTTCTTACCACTGGCCTCAGGCAACCACTAATCTACTTTCTCTCTCTATAGATTAGCCTTTTCTAGACAGTTCATGTAAATGGAATCATGTGTTTTTTTGCATTAGATTTTTTACTTTGCATGATGTTTTTGAGATTCATTTATGTCCTAGCCTGTATCAGTACTTTATTCCTTTTAATTACTAAACATATGGATAATACCACATTTTGTCTGTTCATCAGTTGCCAAACATTTGCATTGTTTCTGATTTTTGGCTCTTATGAATACTGCTGTTATAAAAATTCAGGTACAGGTCTTTTATGTGGAGATAATGTTTGCATTTCTCTTGGGTATTTGGTATATACCTGAGAATGGAATTACTAAGTCATAAGGTAAAATTATACTTAACTTTTTTTTTTAGTCCTCACCCAAAGATATGTTTTTATTGATTTTAGAAGGAGAGGAAGGGAGAGATGTGAAAGGCAAATGTGAATCGGTTGCCTCCTGTACGCGCCCCCACTGGGACTTGAACTTGCAACCTGGGTATGTGCCCTGACTGGGAAATCAAACCCGCAACCTTTTGGTTTATGGTTGATGCTTCAACCAACTTAGCCACCCGGCCAGGGCTATATTTAACTCTTAAAGAAACTGCCAAACTGTTTTTCAAAGTGGCTGTACCATTTTACATTCCCACCTCCAACATGTTAGGATTTCAGTTACTCCACATCCTTGCTAACACGCGATATTGACTCCTATTTTGATTATAGCCATTGTAGTGGATATAAAGTGGTATCTCATTGTGGTTCTAATTTGCATTTCCCTCTTAATTAATGATGTAGAACATTTATATATATGCTTATTGTTCAGTGTATGTATTTTTCATATGCTTATTTGAGAAAATACTCAAATCTTTTGCTCTTATTTTAATTGGGTTATTTGTCTTATTGAGTTGTATATTATTTATATATTTTGAATACAAGTCTTTTATTAGATAAGTGGTTTGCAAATATTTTTTCCCTATCTGTGGCTTCCCTTTTTATTTTCTTTAGGGTATGTCTTTTAAAAGAAGTTTTTCATCTTGATTAAGTCTATTTTAGGTTTTTTGTCGGTTTTTTGGCTTATGCTTTTGATGTTGTATCTAAGAAATCTTTGCCTAACCCAAAGTCTTAAAGATTTACCCCAATGAGTTTTATAGTTTAAGCCCTTATATTTAGTTCTGCAATCCATTTGGAGTTGATTTTTGTATATGGTGTGAGGAGGCCTTACTTAAATGAATTCGGACAGATTTGATAACGTGGAAGTATTCACTGTCTGAGACCTCTATTTTATCGTATTTGTTCTCACTCGTTTTACCTACCAGTAAGATAAGAGAACTGAGAAAGTTATATTTAATTCCCTCCACAAACATTATCATTTGCTACAATTTAGTTAACACATTTGTGAAGTATTTCCAGATAAAAAAAGCTGAAAATTATAAATAAATACACTTATTTTAGCATGTTTCTAACTTTTTAAATAATTATAATCTAAACTTTAAATGTCCACATAAATTACCCTAGTTTGTTTTCTCAGCATGTAAAAATTATAAATTCTGATTCAAATCAGGGTGATTTGAAATTTGAAATTTGAAATTTAAGTTGAGATAGATTCCTAATAAAAAGTATATGTTAAATTTTTAACTTTATATGAAAATACAAGTCATTCTACTTCTATTTAACTATGAAATTTGACTTTTATTTCGCCATTTTCATTCTGTTCGATAAGTCTTTAATAGTGACTCAGTACCTGACTTTAAAGCAAACTAAAGTGTGAAACCACTTTCTTGGTTTGTATTTTCAAATGAATAGCAGTTAAGAAAAATAGAAATCAGATATCCTGATTGAAAATGCTTTAAGCCCTGGCCTGGTAGCTCAGTTGGTTAGAGCATCTTCCCCACACACCACAGTTGCAGGTTTGATCCCAGCCGGGGCGCATACAGCAATCAACCAATGAATGAATGCATCAGTAAGTGGAACAACTAATCAGTGTCTCTTTTTTTCTCTCTCTCTCTTCCTGTCTCTCTAAAATCAAAAAACTTTTTTAAAAAACTTAACAAAAAAGAAACTTTAAAAATTCAATGTCATTTTTTAAAGTCATATAAAACTTAAAAACCGTTTTATCTTAGCTTAAGATGTGGTACTGACAGTAATATTTCACTTGGGGGAGAGTCTAACGCTCTAATTCAAACCCTGCAGTTGGTGGTGACAGAGCCACAGACAGCGCATCAGACAGTTCTAACCTCCATTTCTCTGTATTAATCTGCTAGGAACTGCTTTCTTGACCCCTTAGGTTTGGCCAGTTCTCACATTTTGTTTGTGCTCTTTGAATAGTTAATCTATTTAAAGTTTTTATAAATTCAATATTTTAGATTTGCTTTATACAGAAAAGTATATGGATTTTTATATACATGTTGGTAGTAGGAACAGTTTTAGCAATGAAAATATATATGCTGTATTAGTCTTCCAAGACCAAAAAATTAATTTTTATCTTTTATTCTATATTTCAAAAGATTTGTTTTTCCCATCAGATGCAGACCAACAACGAAGAGAGAAACTCAAAAAAGAATTAGCACAATGTGAAAGGGAGTTGAAATTAACTAAAACTTGGGTGCAGACCAATTCTAAAAATAATTCCAAGTCATTATTTAATACTCTACAAAAGGTAAGATGGTGTTTTCACCTTTTAGAAGTAGATATTTCTAAGCTACTTTATCAGTGGTACAACCTGACTTTGGTAACATGTTTCCCATAGGTCAGAGCCTCAATAAACTTTTCCTGTAAAGATCCAAATAGTAACTATTTTAGGCATTTCAAGCCACAAGGTCTCTGTCATAGCTATTTGCCATTGGAAAGCAGCCATGGATAATACATAAATGAATGGGTCTAGCTGTGTTCCAGTAAAACTTTATTAACCAAAAAGATCGTAGGCCAGATTTGGCCTGTAAGCTGTAGTTTGCTGACCTCTGCTATGGGTTTTTTGTGATATCCTTTAACATCTGATCAAGTAAGTTCTGTTCTATTCCTAATTTTCTAAGAGGATTTCTTTTCTTTCCCTTGAATATAACATTCATGTTAATTTTGTCAATTTTTTTTGCATTTTTTTGAAATGATGCTATGCTCTTCTTTTTAATCTGTTAATGTAGTGAATTACAATTGAGTTTTTAATATTTAACTTTGCATCCCTACTATAAACAAACTTTGTCATTACCTTTTTTTAAAAAAAATATTTTATTTATTTATTTTTAGAGAGGGGAAGGGAGGAAGGAAGTGAGGGAGAGAAACATCAGTGTGTGGCTGCCTCTCGTGCATCCCCTGCTAGGAACCTGGGCCGCAACCCGGGCATGTGCTCCGCACTGGTAATCGAACCAGCAACCCTTTGGTTCGCAAGCCGGTACTCAGTCCACTGAACCACACCAACCAGGGCATCATTACCTTTTTTATACATTGCCGGATATACTTGCTGATATTTTGCTTAGGATTTTAACATCTATATTTATTATTGATGTTGACCTGTCATTTTCCTTTTTCTATTATGTCAGGATATGCCAGCTCATAAAATAAATTGGGCACTATTTCCTCTTCTTCTGTGCTTTAGAATAATCTCTATAAGTTTAGGATAGTTGTTCCTTGAATTTGATGGAACCCAATATTAAAGTGAACAAGACCTAGAGTTTTCTTTGTGAGAAGATTTTTGACTGCTGATTCAATTTTTGAAATCCTTATGTAACTATTTTTAAATTATATATGATACATATTTACATATTACACAATATATAAATATATATAGGATATTCTGTCCATATAATCCAAATGTTCAAATTTTAGGCATAGATTTAGTCCTAAATATACTCTTACTCTTTCTTGAATATGTGTTATTCCCCCTTTTTATTCTTAATGATTTTTTTTTATTTCTCTCTTTATTGAGTATTTCAACCAGAGATTTATCAGTTTTATCTTTTAAAGGGCACACTTTTTATTTCATTAATCATCTCTATTGTATCTGCTTACTATTTTGTTAATGTCCATATTTATCTTTATTTCTTCTTTAGCTTTTTTTTTGGTTTACTTTGATGTAATTTTTCTACTTTTGTTTAACTTATTTTCAACCTCATTTCTTTTATAGAATAAGCATTTTCAAGGTATAGTATGAATTTTCCTCCAAGTTCTACTTTACTTATGTCCCGTAAGTTTTGATATGTGGCATTTTTATTATAGCTCAATTCAAAATATTTTATAATTTCCATTATAATTAATTCTTTAACCCTGGAATCTATTAGAACTGTTTCTTAATCTCTGGGATTTTTCCTAGTTTTCTTTTTGTTACAGATTTCTAGCCTATTGTATGATCAGGGAACATCTATATGGCGCCCATTTCTTAAATTTGTTGACTTGTTTTATGGCCCAGTAAGTGGACATTTCTTTTTAATTGACTATGTCATTATGTGTTTGAAAATAAAATATATTCTATAGTTGTTTTGTGCAGTATTTAATGTATAATATATTCATTAGATTAAACTTTGTGTCATTGAGATATTCAAATCTTACTGATTTTTTTGTCTGATTAATTTATTATTTATTAAGAGAAATCTTTCACGATTGTATATTTAGCTTTTCTTCCAAAATTCAATATTAGCAATTTTTGCTTTATATATTTTGAATCTATATCCAGTAGAGAATGGATACAAAATAGTAAACAGATATAATAAAGATTTAGGGGCGATGTATTTTCTTGGTGAATCTTGTCTTTGATCACTGCACTTTGAACTTATTTACCTTAATGCTGTTTGTTTTAGTTTTCTAATAGTGATGTAATTAAACCAGCTTTCTTTTGATTGGCATTCCTTTGGTATATCTTTTTCCATTTTTTAATTCTAATATTTAAGGTAGGTCCTGAAGTTTTAGGTGGGTCAGATTATTCACTCTGATAATCTTTGTCTCTTAACTGGAACATTTAATATGCTTTTATTTCTGCCTTCTTATCTTGTACTATTTGACCCACATCCTTAAACAGCCTGCTCCTGTTGAGTATAGTCAGGACCTGTAACTTGCTTTCAATAGAATATGGCAAAGGTGATAGGATATCACTTCCGTGACTGTGTTACATGGAGAAATGAAGGGAATTTGCCCCTGTAGATTAAGGTTTTGATTCCTTAAGAGAGAAAGAGAAAATGGGTCTGGGAGGAATTTCGACAGTGGCATCTATAGAAATGGCTTCCCACCCCGAGTCTCACCAAGGGAACAAGGGAAGGGGGAGGCTTTCTCAGCATTCTCCCTGCTCTTTCTTTCCAATGAGCTCCTGGTAGTGTTCCTGTAGGAAACACTGCAAGAGGACACAAATTCCCCGAGTCTCAGAGGCTTCCCACTCCCGCACTAGCCTACAATCAGTCTTTAGCTATGAGCTAAAACTTCTAGCGTAATCTTACTAAGGTATGTGCACTCAGGGTCATCTGTCCCAGATAACCAAATGCTCAGATGTTCTTTCTCTCTGCAGGTGCCAGTCGCTCTCCAGATTTCAGGTTATTTGTTTGCTCTGTGACCTTAGTTCTCTCATTAGCTCGGGAGAAATCATCAATCTGTAGTTGTCCAGTTTCTTCTTGTTGTTATGGTGAAAGCTAGGTAGGCTCTTCCCACCTCTTGCCATCTCTCAGCTGAAGCTGCAAGTCTGATTTATGTTTGTGTGTGGTGTTTTCTTTAAACTTTTTAATTTTGAAAATGTTAGCATCTATAAGAATAGAGTCGTGTAATGAGCCCACAGGTTCTTGTCCCTCAGATACAACAATGATCAGACTTATTTTACCTATATTCTCACTTACTACCCTATCCTGGATTATTTTGATGCAAATCACAGATATATAATTTTACCCATAATTATTTCCATATCTAAAAGATAGACCAAAATACCATTACTGTGTCTTAAAAATTAATAATTCTTAAATATCCACTGTTGAGATTTTCCCATTGTCATAACTTTTTTAGTTTGTTAACATTGGGATCTAAATGATTTCAACTAATCAACAAATTTTTAATTTATAGCTTCTCCTTCCCCCGCCTTTTTATCTCCCTACAATTTATGTATTAGAATCAACCAAGTCACTCATCTTGGCTTAAGGTTTTTGGGGGCCATCTGGGTAATGCAAACTTAGGCTGCAGCCTTGTACGAGGGCAACATTTGGTTTCAGATTCTCAAAGGCTGGTGTTCCTCTTCTACCCAGTGCCAGTGTTCATTCAAGATGGGGAAATTTCTTTACAAGTCACCTAGTTGAGGTGTAGCTGTTGAGAGGATCCCAGATTCAAGAGCATGACTCCTAGACTGTCCTAATAAGTCCCTGAGCTTTGTTTCTGTCCCCCAGCACCTTTGATGTGATAAAAACTATTGCCTGTTAATAAAGCCAGTTTCACTGCTCTGCTTACTGGGTATCACATACCATGTTTTGACTCCAGCTCTTTCCGTTGTACATCTCAGTAGGCGGGGGAAGACTGAGGGCATTTGCACCATCATAATCAATCCGGAATTTTTTTCTTTGAGAAATATGGGGAGCCATAGGCGAGTTTTTAGTCCAGACATTATATCATCATATTGACACTTTAGAAAGATTACACTGGCAGGAGAGAAGGACAGATTAATTAAGAGACAGTTGCAATAACCTGGGGAAGAAATGACTAAGACCGGATTTAAGACAGCAGAAGGGAGCACAAGGAATATATTCAGGAGATATTTACAAAGTAGAATTCCCCAGAATTTGGTGCCTGATTCAATAATGTGAAGAGCAAGAGGCCAACATTAAAGAGGTTCCCAAGTTTCCATCCGGGGCAGCTGGGAAAGTGGTGATACATCATTCACTGTAGCAATGAGGACAGGACAGAGTGTGGTGTTCTCTTTGGAGGGGTGGATGATGTATGGTATGAGTTTGCTTTTTGGGACATGCTTGATTTGAGGTTCCTTTGGAACATCTAATATGATCAGTAGAGAATGGATACAAGCATTTCTGTCAGGCTGAAAATAGATTTGGGAGTAATCAGGGAAGCGGTATCATGCTTAAGAGCCCCCAGGGCTGTTAGGTAGATAAAAGCACCAAGAATAGCAGCTTCCTTTAGAATAAATCTGCCAGACGCTGTACTTGAATTTGCCATCTGGGAATATGTTCATCAATATTTGACTCATGTGCATTTTCATTTTTAATGATTGGACTTTTTAACTGAAAATGGAAAATATTTTTTATAATCCAGAAATTTGAATATAAATTAAAATTGTATTTTGAGATATGAGTGGTTTTTGTTGAAAATAAAATATATAATTAAGTCTGTAAATGTATGATATCTTCATTTTTTTCTGTAGCCACCCTATACTTGCCTCCATAAAGTAGTTCATTTATACTATAATATAGGTATATTTTGTACTTCACTTAGAATTCATAGTAACTTGAACTTGCCTACATTTTTCTAAGCCTTGATCATAAATATTTAGGCACATTCACAATTATTTTGGACATAATATTTTGATAATCGGGTGGTTTTTATGGTTAGTGGACACCTATTATAACTATAACCTGCATTTACTGAAAAGTTTGCTACCATTGAAAAGAAAATGCTAATTTTAGTCTCTGGACATATTAGTCATTTATATACTTGAGATTATGTAATCAAAGCCCTTTTAACTGCCCGTACCCTCATGCCACTTTCTGCCGCTGGCACTTTGACTCACACGCCGTCTCCTCAGTGCCCTCCTGCGCCTTTCCCTGCCCCCTGCCAGTCACGCACCGCTTGCTCGCTCACATCGCTGGTGGCGCACTCCTGTGTGCTGGTAAGAGGAAACGCTGTGTGGGTGTGAGCCATATTCCTAAATGAGTCCATGTTCAAAGCATATAAAACAATGACAATCAAGAGCTATCAGTTTCTTTTATAAAACATAATTTGAAACATTTTTGCAAAACAAATGTTAACCAAACTTTTAAGTAACTTGTACCCATGCTATTCTGCAAATGAATTGATTCCTCAACTGCTTAAAGACCTGACATTTGGAAAATCTTTGTCTACTATTTTTTTCTGACATTATACCTGGAAAAGATTGATTTACTGTTCAGTTCTGTGATTGTAAAATTGGATAGGTATTCTTGACATAAAAACATGTACATATACACTATGAAATGATTATCAGTTATATAAATTCTTAAATCACAGAAACAGTTTACAACAAATTGCATTGAACTGTGAGGATAAGAACATGAAAGTGGTCAGATTTCCACCAAAATTTCTTGTTCCACTGACATACAATTGATTAACCTTTTCCTGGTTTTTGGACTTTACAGTGCTATTCAAATTTTGGTGACTTTATTAATGTTATACATTTTCTGTGGAAATGTATGTGTATCCAAGCTTTCTGATATTTATGGCTAAAAGAAATTATATAATCTCAGAAAAAGCAAACTGATACAGTTGATTTCGTACTGTGTTCTAGTGGTTTCCAAGGAAATAAAAAGTAGGATACAAGGGAGGAACTACATGCCATAAAAGTACAGAAAAGTTTCATGCCTTCCATCAGCTCAAAGGCAGTTTTGACAGCCCATTTCAATATATTTGTGCCTTTAAAACTTCCTTTGGTGTTTCATTTTGTTTATTAAATAACCATTACTGATAAGAATTTTCCACAGGCAGTCTAAGTCCTTATGCATTTCTGCATTCTCTGATCTCAGATTTTACTGTGCCTCTAAGTGCAAATAATTCCTGTGATTATTGTTTAATAGCCCTAAAGGGTTTTCCACATCAAACTTAGAAATTTATTCCCCGGGAGCCAAACTCTTCTGGTAAATAAGCTGCAGTAATAAGTATAGATTGGGAGTATTTTTTAAAACTAACATATTAAGGTCATTAATTAAACAGTACCTTAGTGACTCAAACTTTAATGCCAAAATATTTACTTGCTTTTTGAATAATTTTGCCTTGGATTTGGGATAGGGTTAGAAAGTACTTGGAAAGGAAATAAATGGTCTATTTTAGGCAGTAGTCACAATATCCATTTATCTACAATTTCCTTACTTAGATAAATCAATGCTTAGTTTAGCTGACTTGTTCACTGCCAGGAAAGGTGTTAAAACCAGTTGAAAATTCCTGGTGGTGTAAAACCTCTAAAAGTGTATGATTTTCCTATGAATCTTTAAAATAGATAATGTGACGTAATGGTGAAGAGCGTAGGGTTCAGATATGTGGGGCGCTGCGCCTGAATTTCTTCCTCTGTAAAACAGAGGCAGTAATTGTACCACCAGAGGTTGATGTGACGATTAAATGCGTTGTACATGGAGATCAATTAGAACAGCACCTTGCGCATAGCAAACACTCTGTGCTTAATAGTAACAGCGATAGAAGTTCTTACTATTCCTCTCTTATTCTACACACTGGTAAGAACAGTACCTTGTACAAAGAGAGCACTTGGCTCTCCCCATACTCCTCTTGTTTTCTGCCCTGTTTGAGCTTATAGGACAGATAGAGCTGGCTGCATCTTAACCATTTTCACTTCATTTTCTGTAACCTCCCTTGTACCTAATAAAGTGACTCCAAGTTCTGTAAAGGATACACAGGTGACCACGAAGTCTGGAATCATAGACAAGGCTTTTGGGGCATCTAATTTGTAAAAGTATACAATATGTGTTTTCAGACTTTATACATACCATGTAGAAATGGTTCTTCCAAGGTTAAACACTCCCCCCCCCCTCCAAAAAAAACATGGAGCAAATACCTTCCCTTTCAAAGCATTCGCCTCTCATGAAGAGAACTTGAGAAAACATGTGAACTTTTTATGGAATAAGTATTTCTTAATGTTATTTAAAATATCACTTAGGGGTGACATTCAGCCGGCCGGTAGTGCCACAGAACTTCCATACTGCAACCATGGCCCAATTTGTCCGTAACCTCGCAGAGAAGGCCCCAGTGCTGGTAAATGCTGCTGTGACTTACTCTAAACCTCGATTGGCCACATTTTGGCAGTATGCCAAGGTTGAGCTGATTCCTCCAACCCCTGCTGAGATACCAACAGGTACCAACCTCTAATATTCAGAGGTTGAAAAAAATAGTCAATAGTGCTCAAACTGGTAGCTTCAAACAGCTCACAGTTAAGGAAGCTCTGCTGAATGGTTTGGTGGCCACTGAGGTGTGGATGTGGTTTTACGTCGGCGAGATCATAGGCAAGCGTGGCATCATTGGCTATAATGTTTGAAGACCAATCTTTAACATCTGTTTCTTTTTGGTTTATTATTTGAATGTTCTTGGACCATGAATAATCAGAATGGTATTTGAATTTAAAAAAAAAAAGTATTTCAAAAAAAATAAAAATAAAAATAAAAATAAAATATCACTTAAATCAGGGTTCCGTGCATTGTAAGGAAAAGTACCTTTTCCTTTCTTCAAAGCCTTAAAGTTACAGAGCAACTGCTGGCACTGAAGACGACCTTAGTGACAGGAAGGGAGGGGAGGGCACCAACAGCCCTGGCTGAGAAGGGAATTAGGGCTCACAGTGGATTTGGAAACTTCCAGATAAAACTGAGACCTACCAGTAGATCTCAATGCACAAGTCAAGATCTCAAAAGTAGGTTTACATTATTAATCATTTTTTTAGCTTCAGAAAGAAATATAATTGCTGTTACATTTAGAATTATATTTTCATATATTAATATTTCAAAAACTTGAATAGAACTTTATATATGAAGTGAACAGCTTTAGGAACAAAGAAGTTAATTTTGTAGTCTCCCGAGGCAACCGTTTTTGATGCTTATGAATTTGAAATGTTAATTGATGACTCTCAAACCCAATGTTCTTAGCCTGCAGAAGAACCGCAAAATGAAGATGATACGTTAACTGTAGAAGTGGATGGATATTCGTCCTTTACAAAGTCGGCAGTGACCTCTTCAGAGAGACTGCACCTAAGAGCACCGGAATCCAGCAGAGTCCTCACAGATGGCGCTGAGAAGAACTCCGGTTCCTCCCCGTCGAGCGCAGACTACACCGCCTGTGCGGCCAGGAAAACGTGCTCTGGAACCTCGTCTGGCGGGGGGTCCAGGGGCACATTCCCAAATGCCAACCAGCTTCCGTTAGGTTTTGCAAAGGCACCCAGTGGGGACCTCTTGGATAAACATTCTAAACTCTTTTCTAACAGACATTTGCCATTCACTCCACGCACTTTGAAAACAGAAGCAAAGTCTTTCCTGTCACAGTATCGATATTATACCCCTGCCAAAAGAAAAAAGGGTTTTGCAGACCAGCAGATAGAAGCAGAAACCCAGACTGAATTAAGCAGGTACGGCACATCAACAGCCAATATGAAATCCTTCAGGACATTGTAAGAATTAAACAATATTCCTTATTTTATATCCTGTAGTTTATGTGTCTTTCAATGGAATGGCATTAGTGTGACTCTCCCTTTTACACATATCCATTGCAACTGTCAGAATAATTGTTGAAAAACCAAGTAGCTCTTAAACGTGTCAGTCTCCTCATATACATGAATGTTACGTATTTTATGTATTGTTTTAAACATGGAACTAGAACTTTTATATGTTTTTTAATATACTTCCAGAGAATCCTTAAAATGTTATCAAACAGTATTTGTGTAAATATGTCTATTGCTTTAGGATAAAAATGGCAAAACAGTGGGTTAAAGAGGAGGGAAAAACAACTACCCCTGTGCTCCCTCCCCTGCAAATATTCAACCCCAGTCTGGTATAGCAACACCTCCTCGGGTGTAATTTAGACAGTTGGGATCTTTGCTGAAAGTTAAGTATGATTTGCCTCAAAAATATTTCATATGTGATAGTACCTGCCACATAATGAACATCCAGTAAAAGTTTGCCAGGCTATTGGAGAAGCAAACAAGTCTTGTAAAGTATTAAGTATAAGCTGATTTATGATTGTTTATTCTAGGTTACATAAACAAATATTTATTAGGTACTAGGTTTTAGTTATTTTATAAAGTAAAAAGGAACTTATGACTAGTACTTTTTTCTCTGGGCAAATATGAGTCTGCATACATTTAATCAAAGAATTAAAGAATTGAATCTATAATAGAACTTGTCAAGTGAGAGAAAAATGAGGAAACCAGCATATCGTATGCTTTTCTGATTATGTTTATGACAGCTTTTGAAGATAATAGTTCCCATTCCCTAGTCCTATTCTGCCCACCTGAAATTTAGCTGCTATTCAATGAAAGAAAAAAGCAGCACAGGTAATCCAAACCACATCTACTTCCTGATTATATAATCAGAAATAACACATTTTATAAGAATAGATAGATGTCATCTTCTGTGTTTATTTTTTCTAGACAGTAAAGCTCATTATGATAGTATTTGTATTTTGAAAACTTAACAGTATATATTTTTAATATTACAGCTTTAAATCTGATTTTGAGACAGCTGAGACTAAGGACTTCACAGATTCAGAAGCGAACATAAAGCAGGTAATGGAAATGAGATCTCTGTGCTTCACATTGGAATTACAGCTGCTTTAACCTAATAGAATATGTATAGCTATTTGGATTGTGGAGAGTAACCTCTTGGTGACACTTCTTGCATGTGATATAGTCAGTATACAGAAGGTTCGCCTGTTTACTCTCTGCGAATGGCTAGAAGAATCCTGCTAATTTGGGAAATCATGTGTTATTAGCATCTCTTCCAGATGGTTGGTTGACTGGCTGGATAGATGGATGGATGAATAAAATACCTTAAATGTTGTTTACAAAGTTGTAGACTTGGATTACTAAAGGAGCCAGAAATGTTGTGTAGCCCTGGCTGGTATGGCTCAGTGGATTGAACTCAATTCCCAGGCAGGGCACATGCCTGGATTACAGGCCAGGTCCCTGGTCGGTGCAAGAGGCACATGTTTCTCTCCCTCTCTTTCCCCCTCCCTTCCCCTCTCTAAATACAAATGAATAAAATCTTAAAAAAAAAAAGTTGTGTAGAAATAATTTAGTTTTTATGCCTATATATCTTTAAAGGATTGCCACTGATTATATGATTGAAAATGATACATTTTATAAGACTGGATGGATATATCAATCTCTTATGTTTGCTTTTACTTTTTTACAGTGTTTATATTTTGAATGATTAGCCATTTTTATTTGCATTTGCAGGTATTAATTATAGACTTAAATTGCAATTTAAATTTATTGTTTGTTAAAAGGTTTGTCTTTTAAAATGTCAAACACAGACTCAGGGATATCATAATGAAATATAAGCACATTCAACTTCCCTCTTCCATTAATCTTTCCCTCTTTCATCTCAGCCATTAATAGCTGTTTGGCATAGGGCCCTGCCACTTAAGGCCCGAGGACAAGTCACTTACCCTCTGAGAGCTGAGTCCCCACATCTAGGAAAACCACACTTACCGTGCAGGGTCATTGGAAGGAACAGAGGACGCAGGGAAAGTGCCAAGCCCACCTGGGCTCAAAAAATGACAGCCGTGACTAGCGTGAGATTTAGGAAGAGGGTCAGCTCTGTCGGTAGCTAAATAAACTAGAGTGAGTCCATTTTTTAAAACAGCTTGCTCCAAATGTTTTTCTATAACCCTGTAAGAAAACGGTGTGTCCGCATATTCTGTAACCGTTATCAGCAGCTCTCTACCTGAGGGAGGCAGTCGAGAGTTAAGGCAGTAGACCCTCATTTTGAACAGCACTTTTAAAACTGTAAAGCACTCTACATAAATTTGCATTTAAAGATTAAATCTTATCATGCAAGCGAGTGCGAGTGCGTGGCAGAGCATGTGGCCGGGGGCGAGGATGCTGTACGAGCGGCCGCCGGTGGCTGTCGGTCGGCGGTCGGCGTTGCTGCTTGTGTCGCCGCGGCCACCCCTGCTGCTGCGGGGTTGATGCGTTGGCGTTGGCAACAGGTCAGCTTTTGAATTTCTGAGTAAGATAGTTTTCTCCAGTTTTCCTAAAACTTGCATATTTGCTTTATTTTCTCTTTATGTGTTTATCTGTGGTGATTTCTTAATGTCATTTAAAATGTCCCTCATTAAAATATAAGAAATAAGAAGTTGCTTTATCTTTAAATAAATTTAAGAAGAAAGGCCTAATTGGATGGGAAATGTATTCTAAAACATCCTTTTTCATACTATATCTGTCACTTTTATCTACTGGATACTTCCACTCTCTAAGTGCTATTTTTTTCTAATTTGCTCTTTTGTGTTATTTCTGCTTTTACAGTATTTTTGAAGCAAAATATTTATTTTTGTCATTGTATCCCCAGGCATCTAATTATATGACATATGGAACCAAAGAAAACATAACTCCTTTGTCTTTACAAGGGAATGAGGTCGAAGAGAGCGCTCTTCAGTGCTCGGCGCCCAGGTGAGCTGCTCGTGGGGGCCTTTGGACAGGGTCCCCATCCCCCTGCGCCCCGGGGGGCGGGCCTGTAGTGTTGGCCCCGTGAGAGCGCGGCGCCATCCTGTCTGGGGTCAGACAGTGCGGGTGGTAGTGTTGGTTCTGCTAAGAAGATTTTACAAAGTAGATACTCAATAAAAATTTAAGTGAATTCATGTTGCTAATTTAATAATAAAGGAAAAAGGGACAGTGGCTTATATTGTTTGTCATCACTATTCATGTGAAAGAGAATCTTCCCCGAGACAAATCCTACGTTGGTTGATGCTCACTGCCAGTAATTCATGTGGCACGAATGTGAACTTACACGGCACATGGAAACTCACCATTTGAAGATTCATAATTTGTGATTTGAATATTCACCATACGCTTGTGGCTTGGTCTATTCATGCTATGTAGAGGCATTCTTTTTAAAAACTCATCATGTTTGGCGAATATGAAATATTACACTTAAAAAAAAGTTAGCCCTGTAACATAGGACCTAAAAAACGCCTTTGGTAGTTTCATCTGTCAGATGCATTCCTGGTGGCAGAGACTGGATATGAGATGAAGGAGGGGGGAGAAAGAAAGGTCTAGAGATTAAACAGAGGGCAAGGGTGAGGCGGTACCTGGCAGGCCAGGAGGCAGGCGCACACGTCTCGGGCCCAGCTCCTCCCTGGCCCCTCGCCGGGAGCTCCCGGCGGCCAGGTGGCTGGGCTCATTCCTTCCTGCCTTGAATTTCATGGCACTTCTAACTGAAGATGTATAAGCCACTCTGCAGTGAATATAAAGAGCCACCTAAAAAAAAGGAATATTTTTCTTTCCTAGTAGTTTCTATCTAAAAGAAATGAAATATTGCAACATTATTGTTGCGTATACCTGAATAAAAAGCTTTGGAGTTAAATAATGACCAGCTTAAAAATATTTTTATAGGGAAATAATCTGTTTTCAGCATTATTTATATGTTACTCTTAGTCACATTGTTATTATTTATGCTAGGTAAATGCCATAGTACAATTTTTTAAAGGATTGTGAATTTGTCATTAGAATAGGTAAAAAAAAAATCTATCTTCACTACTTATTTGGCTTTCTGTACACTGGTGAACTCATTAGTAAGTGAGAAAAATAATACCTACCAAATATACATGACAGGATTTTTCTGAAGATCAGAGGAGGTCATGGATATGCAGCATTATTAGTAATATATAATATTATGGAACACTTACTGTATGCTAACCATTGTTCGGTTCAAATATTTAATTTTCTTTTTTCAGGGCAGCATATCAATGTTCTGTGCAGCGTCCTTCAAGGAGGAAAATCTACTCTGAGTAAGATCTTTCTCACTTTTCATTTTGCGTAATGGAAATCAAGAATTAAGAATCATACAAACCATTATTAAATAAGTTAGGATTGAACACTAATGTCTCTTACAGACAGCTTTGGGGTTAAATCATATAACAGAATTTTCTGAAATAATTATCAATCACTTTCTCTTTATGCCCAGTTGAAATTTGTCCCTAGGTTAATAATACCTGCTATTTTTTTTATAATTGGTACTCATAATTCTTATATATTCTTATAAGTAAAAGACAATAGTTTTTGAGACATTCAGAATTTTAGTTACTTTGGACAGCCTTCCTGGAGGTTTCTAACCTCACCAGTTCTTTGCAGATACTGTACTTGTAGGTATTAATGTTGTTTTAGTTGAGCTACATTTTTTTGTGGGGGGTGTGGATAATCCACAGGAGTGGACAAAAGTAGGTTTATAGTTGTGAGTACATGAAATAGTTTATTCTTGTATTATTTATTAATTATTATTTTCCATATGGATACCTTTAAACCTACTTTTGCCAACCTCTGTATTTTTATAGTTTCATTTGTTTTCAAACCTGATATTTAAATACTAGGAACTGAAGCAATTTGAAAGTGTAACTTTTTATATATTTTAATCTTCTGTTACCTGATTTGCTAATTAACTCCTCCCTTATTCAGTAATTATTTACACTTAATAAAGCTATCCACATTTTCTAACAATATTCTCATTCAGCTCATTAAAATCAAACTATAACAGTATTCTAATGTTCTTAGAATAGCTACTAAAACATAATTACCTCATAAGATAATGTAATAAAGAAATATGTCCAGGTAATTAAAATTACTGTAACCGAACAAAAAGATGGGTTCGGCTGCCTGTTGCTACAAAAGCCAAACTCATGAGGCAGATGCTGGTGCAAAAGGAAAGAGGTTCTGTTCAGGTGCCGCATGGTCTGGGAGAACGGTGGACACCTGTCTCAAAGCCCGTGTCCTCCGCAAGACCAAGACAAAAGCCAGTGTCCAGAGTTCCTGCTTCATTTTAAAATGCACAGTCCTTTAAAATGCACAGTGCATAGGCGGTGGCTAAGTGGTCATAGTCCACATCCAGGCAGAATAGCTCGTCCCTGGCTGCCGTTCATTTCAGGCTCCCTCCTGGAGCCCACATGGCCATGGGCCACTTGGCTGCTAGGGCCACAAAGTCCCATGCTCCTGGGGGAGCATGCAATCACGCTGGCGAGGGCATTACCAGGTGAGAGAGAGACAGAGAGAGAGAGAGAGAGAGACTCCCTCCTGGAAACCATGGTTCACATGCCCTGGAGAGAGTAGGCAAATGAATGCACCATGCAAGTGCAGGTCAGGCAAGCCAGCCTCGAGCAAGAGAGATTTCTGTATTCCCCTGGGTTTATATTAGCCCGGGTGTGGGGCGGACCAGGTGCTTTCCCGAAACAACCAGTCAGCTTCCCAGGCTTCCACACGCTGCAGGTGGGTCCCCTTCCCAGCCCATCCCTTCCTTCCCCAGGCTAGACTGATGGGCCTCTTTGGCCCAGCACCTCACCTGCGCCATTTTGACTTCTACAGTGTGTGCCTGCCTTCCCCGGTCTCACCCCATCTGATACCAGAGAGGCAGGGGGAGGCCTTGCATGCACTGAGTGTGAGAACCTTCCCCTGCTGCCATTTTGGCTAGTGGGGGAGACCCCCCTGGTGCTCCAGACTGTCTACTGGTAGCAATACCACTATATTTTTTATGTAAATGTTCATATTAGAATATTTTCCTCCTCTCCAAACATTTTCAGACAAATATTATTTTTTCTACCCAATAATTTTCTCAACTTTAAACCAAGATGCTCCCCTGAGAACAGGAGATTTCACAGTTGAAGTCTCTGCCTCCCCTTTCCCTTCCAGAAAGTGTGTGCCAAGGAGCTCACACCTCTGTTGCTGGACGAGGTCAGGAGCCAGGGGACAGGTCAAGCCCTCCTTAGAACACGGGCCCCCAGGGAGCCCGCTTGGTTGCCCTCTTGCCATTGGTTGGTCTCTGTTTTGTTCTGTGTAACCCCTGCTTATTTTTTACTACTGGATGGATGTCACAGACATCTATGAAATTTTACTCTTATTTGAGGATATTTTCTCATCTTTAATATTTATCCTTGTGTAATTTCAGAAAGTTGACATGTCTGTTTTATAATATTCCTCTTAATAATGTGAGACAGAAGTCCATTTATAATAAATCGTAGAGATATTACTAATCAAGTATTCCTATCTCCTAGAGTTTTCGGAGTAAGTAACAAAGAATTTTCATTCTACGTATTGCTTTGTCTTCACAGTGAGGAAGAACTGTTGTATCTGAGTTTCATTGAAGGTGTAACAGATGAAATTTTGAATCTTGGTTTATTTTCAAACAGGTTAGATTTTTAAAAATAATACATGGTGGTTGAAGAGTACATTAAATACTCTTTAAAGTTATTTCCACATATTAGGAAATGAAAAATTATATTGCTTTCTTGGGGGACCATATTTTTATAACTGGTAGTAATTTGTAAAGAATGTTTAATTCATAGGCTAGGCAGACTCACAGTCTGGGGTAGTTATAGAAGAATAGAGATTTTATTCATTTATATATTGTTATAATGCTTGGTTATAATAGACCAGTAAAATAAAATTTTTGCTCCTTATTTGCAAAGATCCATAATCCAGTTTGCTGTTTCAAACAATGGCAAGAACCAAAAGCAATCATTTTGGTTACAACTGTTACTAATAAAGTGAGGACTAATTAAAAGCGAGGTTTGCATGCTGTAAATGAAATGGAAAGTGTGCAAAACCAGATTAGGTATCGTATATTGAAGGAAACTGTGTCCTGAATCAGCTTTGACAGTTATTTATCTAAAATTCACTGGGCACTGAGACAAACCTTGTTATGCAGTATAAGACCCCATTATGTACGCTATATGTGTAGAAAATTGTCTGGGAGTGAATATTCCCAAACATCAACAGCCATTGTAAAATGTAGAATATGGATTTCTTGGGCTTTTAAAAATTCATTGCATTATTCAGGACTACTGACTATAACTGTTGGCTCATAACTTCATTGTAATAACAAGTGATAACAAAGGAAGTGAGTCATTTTTTAAGAAACCTATTGATGCATTCATGTGATAGAAGACAAGCATGGTGTAGTTGAAAGAATAAACTCAGAGCCAGACACACTTGGGTTAAATTCTCTTAATGGCTTCTGACCTTAGGGGAGAGGAAATCATTTTCTTAGGGATGTAGTTTTCTCATCTTTAAAATTTTTTTACAATACCTTTCTGTCCCAATGCTGGTCATGATAGAGGTATAATTATTATAATTATGTGCCTAACACTTAGTGGTGCTTAATAAGTGATAATTTTTAGATTATATGGATCTACCACTAGTGGAATATTTTTTAAGGATACTTTAGGAAGCATTGTAAAATAACCCTTTGTAAAAGAATTTTCTTCAGAGTTTGGTTTATGGGGATAGTTTGTATGTGAGAGAGGGAAGGGAGACTTATAGTGTTTGTGTATGTGTGTGAGAGAAAAAGAGCTTTTTTGTGGGGGGGAATGAAAGAGAGAGAAGGAATTTTTGGGTCTCATTTAAAATATTTTGTTCACAGAAATGTAAGTAGCATGCGGTCTTTCAGAAATGTTAGCCTTCATTATATTAACCTAAACACATAGTGGCAGCCGTACAAGCTTCCATATTGGAAGACTTGACAGAACAGGAAAGGATTGGTCTTTAACTTTGGAAAAAGAGTCATCTAAAAAAATATTTCCAGCTTTCAGTAGTTTAGTTAGTGCATGGCCATTTTACATTTAGTTGATTTTCTGATTGAGACATTAACGTTTTTATTTATCATTTGTAGGTCTTTAGAACGACTGTTTGAGCGACATATAAGACAAAATAAACACCATTTGGAGGAGGTTTGTCTTTCCCTGGCACTTCATTAGAACAATTCTAATAGAGAAAGAATTGAAAGGTTTGCCGTACCCTCATTAAATTAATGCATTAAAAGCAAGTGCCTTTTTTCCCTTGGACTTTGCGTGTGTTTTGGGGGTGGGGTGGAGAGAGCAGTATTGACCCTGCTGAGGTTAGCAGCACTGCAGACAAAGGTAATTTAATTTAACGAGCTGAATTAATGTAAGTGCTGTCTTTTCTCTCAATCCTAGGAAAAAATGCGCCACCTGCTGCATATTCTAAAAGTGAATTTAGGCTTCACATCCAAGGAAAACTCACTAAACCTAGATGACATTGATATGTTGCATTTGCCTGATTTTGAAAAGGCTGAACATCCCGTACAAAATAAACAAGATGCATCAATTCAACAGGAGCGTCAAGAATACCGAAAAGCTTTGGATATGCTACTGTCTTCACCAAAGGATGAGAATGAGATGTTCTCATCACATGATTTTTTCCTACCCATCTATAAATCAAAGTATTCAGAAGGGGTTATAATTCAACAGGTGAATGATGAAACAAATCCTGGACCTTCAATTTGGGATGAAAAAAATCCAAGTACTTCAGACAGCTTAACAGACCAAGAAACCTCGGTGACTGTCATTGAGGGTGACAGTGACACTGAAAAGGCTGAGCCTTCAGATGAGCTGTGCTGTCTTAGCACAGCGCTCTCCCTGCCTGAGCGGCCCCACAGCGTCCAAGGCGGCAGCGACCGCGACCTGGGAGAGCCAGCTCTCAGAATCATGGAAATGAGCATTGAGGACGGCTCTTTGGATGTTTGATCTTCATTAATAAATATCCCAAATGTCCAGTAATTCAATATTCCTTTTCCTCTTTTCTCCTTTTATATGTTAAGATTTCCTGTATGTATTTTCTATGCTATATAATAAATTACCATAAATTTAGCAGCTTAAAACAAACACATGTATTATTTATGGCAGTTTCCATGGATCGGGTCTGAACATAGCTTACAGGGCCCTCTGTTCTGGGTTTCCCGGGCTACCACCCAGGAGTTGTGGGTCCAGACCTCACCTTGGCTTGCCTGGGAGAAGAACCTGCTTCCAAGCTCTTTTCAGGTTGTTGGCCAAATTCCTTTCCTTGTAGCAACAGACCTGAAAACTCCGCCCATTGTTCCCAGCCACTTGGTCTTCCCCGCAGGCAGCTCACAAGGCGGCTGCTTGCTTCTTCAGAGTCACAGGAATGACTTTGCATCATCTCTACATACACTTTTGGTTGGAAGCAAGTCACAGGTGCCACCTGCCCTTACTGTAGAAGGATGCAAATGCCAGAAGGTAAAAATCGCTGAGGCCACCTTAGGATCTGTCAGCCACCTCACTGCTTTAGGATCTGTCGGCCGCAATTTCTAAGTTGGTTTTTCAGGAGGACATAATTTACCCAGGCCTGGGAGGTTTTGTAGGCAATGGGAAATGGTTTATGATCTGGCTTGGATCTTGAGGCATGAAGCCTGGTCTACAGTATCATTTTTTTCCCCTCACTTTCTTGCAATATCTAAAGCCTCAAGGCATTTCTAGATACCAGTGAGCTAGAGCCATCTGTCAGCTACCTGGAAAATTACCTGTTGGTGTTGGGGCAAGTATTCTGTCAGACACCCTCCCCTGTCATTGTAGCTCATGAATAGGCTCCTTAATACTGTGCATGTCTCAAAAGACTCATCTCTAGTTATGTCTTTTCAACCCCTTAAATACTGTAATTGAGTATTTGAGCGCCTGTTACATACAAAGTTTCATGCCGAGGCACTGTGGAGGATGAGAAAAGAGGAAACAGAATAACGGCCCAAATGTTCTAGAAATTTAGCAATGGCCTCCAAGTGTGCCATTCTTTAGCACGGGCTTTTTATGATCCTTTGCGCACACCCGTGTTTCCCAAAAGATGGTGCATCCCGCTGGAGGTATTAGAGCCGATTTCTGGTGACACGTGGGTGACAGGTCCATCTCACTGTGGGGAGCTGACTGTCACCACCATGTTCAGGACTCAGGCTCAGGGGCAAACTGCAAAGCAGAGTGTGGCGGGGCCTTGCGCCCCAGGTCACCCTGCTGCGGCCCTTCCCTGGCCCCGGTGACCCCTCAGGGTTCATGCCTGGAGTTCTCCTTAAAGCCCTCTGGAACCCCTCCTTTCCCCACCTTGCAAGGCCCTTAAACGTCTTAAAATACCCCCAGCCCTACTCTTGGCCTCCATCCTAGGTCTCCCCATCAGGCATCCTCCACCCCCCTCCCTAGTCGCTTCTTGGACTTCATCCTCCTCTCGGCCCGCAGGGCTCCTTCCCTCAGTCCCAGCCTCCCTCTCGGACGAACCCCTCGCCTCATTATCCAGGTAACGCACTCACACTCGGTGCCTCGCTCACACTGTCCACCCTCGGCTGGAGCTGCCATCCTGCTTCAGGCATTCGCAGTAACTTCTTCCCGCTTCCCCACCCTGTGAGCCCAGCCCCAGACCTATGTCACCTTCTCTATCCTCTAACTCTGGATACATCTCTTGGTCGCCAGGGTCATGACCTTTCCTGCCTGTTGTGCCTGTTAGGGTATTTTTGTTTTTGTTATCTTCAGATCTCCCCTTAAAAATAAGTTTAAAAAGATGAGTTGGGCCCTGGCTGGTGTGGCTCAGTGGATTGAGCGCTGGCCTGCAAACCAAAGGGTAGCAGGTTCGATTCCCAGTCAAGGCACATGCCTGAGTTGCAGGCCAGGTTCCCCAGTAGGGGGTGCGCAAGAGGCAACCACATATTGATGGTTCTCTCCCTCTCTCTCCCTCCCTTCCCCTTGCTCTAAAAATAAATAAAACATCTTTTAAAAAAGATGGTTGAAAGAACTATCAAAAGTGGTCGTTGGATATAGTGAAGCTGAGTAAGGGTAGAAAGTGAATGGTAAGTTTGAGAAACTGGCTGAGACTCTTCAAGCAGCACCTTAATTTCTCTCTCTCTCCCCTACTACTTTCTCCCACAGCCCATCCTCAACTCTGATCATGGAGGTGTGACGAGTGAGCCTTCCAAGCCAGTTCACCTGAGTCTGATTCTCGTGAGCCGTGGTCTTACGCTGAGTCATGGAGCCTCTGTGCTTCCAGTTTGTTGAGTGGGGGCAGTTACAAAGCCTTCATCGCAGGGCTGCAGCCACTAAAACTAGGTTGTATGAGAATTACATGCAGGCTGCTACTATTATTTTAAGGACCATGCCAACCCCTTCTTTAAAAATAAACAAAGGAACGAACTTTCAGCATCTTGCTAAAAAGACAAAGAACAGGCCCTTTTGCGTGTTTTATAGTCACTTCTTCCTTCCCTGCCCGTCTCTCGCTGTCCTCTCCCGGGCAGCCTAAGTGTCTATCACGTGACTGCTTGTCCCCCAGACGTGCAGAGGTCCTCTCTCTGTGCCTCTGTGTGTCCTGTCTGCTCAGAATATCATTTCCCCTCTGTTACTCCCTTTTCTTAAATAGTTTGCCTCTGTTTTCAATTGTAGTTTACGTTCAATATTATTTTGTATTAGTTTAAGGTATACAGCATAATAGACAATTTATATACTTTACAAAGAAGTCCCCGCAGTATTTCCTGTACCCACCTGGCCCCATACATAGTTACTATATTATTGACCATATTCCCTATGCTGTACTTTACAGCCCCGTGAGCATATTGTTACTACCAGTCGGTACTTCTCAATCCCTTCACCTTTTTCACCCCGTCCCCCAAGTCCTCTCTCCTCCACCCACTGCCCTCTTGAGCCTTCACGGATACCCCACACTGAATGTAACACTGAAACCTTGAGTGAGTGTCCCTACTTTTGTCCCACCTTCTCTGGATCTGGGATGTTTCATCTACCCTATGAACTGTAACACAGTTTACATACCCAGCTTGTCTTCTGCCTAGACTATGGGCTTCTCAGGAGGAAGAACTACTTCTTAGTTCCCCAGGTGTTGGTCTCCTTTAGGATGAACATATTTGTTCATGAAGGGACATAGTTTGAGCTGGAGGGGAGGTTTAGCTACAGACAAAGTTATAGGGAGAACAGAAGTTTCCTCTTTACAGAAGATACAAATTCTCCAAGGAGAAGGGAGAATGTAGCAAATGGCTGTTGTTGAAAATTTCCTGAAAAGCCTTATGTAAAAAGTCATTTTTTTCCCCACTGAAGCCAATCAGAAAAGATCAGAGCAACTTTTATGGGGCCAGATGACAACTTGTCACATGAGTTAATTAGCTGTATGGTCACCAATGAATTACTTTACCCTGATCAGTTTACAAGAGTTTAAAAGAGTTTGGACTAGATGATGCAAAGATGTAGTTTAGTTCATTATTCAGGTCTTTAGAAATTAAAATTGAAGTAATTTACCTCTAGAAGTAGAAACACCTCTTCTAGTTTTCCCTTTGTGCTAGTATACAGTACTGTCCTGGGAAGCGATCCGCTAAATTCACACTTCATGTTCAGCTAGTTCTTCCAAGTCTTAAAAACAGGTGAGTTTACCCTCCAGATTTTCCTGAGAGAGACTATATACTGTGGTATTGTTTTCTATTGCTCCTGTAACAAGTTACCACAAACATGGCGGCTTGACAACAGATGTTTGTTATCTTACCATTCTACAAGTCTGAGATCCTAAAATCAAGCTGTTGCCAGGGCTGCGTTCTTGGAGGCTCCAGGGGAGACTCTGTTCCTTGCCTTGTTCAGCTTCTAGCGGCTGCCCGCCTTCCCTCCCGGGTGGCCCGTCCCTCCATCTTCCAGGCCAGCTGCGTAGCATCTTCAAATCTCCTTCTTACCTCTGCTTCCGGCATCACATCTCTTCTCACTATGGCCCTTCGGCCTCCCTCTTACAATGATCCTTGTGATTACTTTGGGCTCACCTGCATAGTTCCGGCCAAGCTCCCCATCTTAAGAACCATAATTACACCTGCCAAGTCCCTTCTGCCATGTGAAGATGACATCACAACTTCCGGGACATGGACATCTTTGGGGGCCCATTATCTAGCCTACTACAAGAGTGCATATCATTAACCTAATAAAAATTGCCTAAATAAACTCTAGTGCCAGGGTGTCCAACCCATGGCCCACGGGCCACATGTGGCCCAGTATAGCTATGAATGCAGCCCAACACAAAATCGTAAAGGTTTTACTTAGAACCTTTTTTTTCTCCTCGGTTTTCATTAATGTTTGTGTATTTAATGTGTCGCCCAAGACAACTCTTCTTCCAGTGTGGCCCAGAGACGCCAAAAGGTTGGACCCCCCCCGGCTGCTGCCTATGAACTGTAACTTGGCTATGTGACGAATCCCAAGTTAAGGTCTATATCGAACATCTACGGCTCATCACGTAGTAAGGCAGCGGTTCTCACCCTTTACCAGAATCACCTGGAGAACTTGTTAAGGTAGATTTTTGGGCCCCATTCCCATAGCTCCTGATTCAGAATTCCCAGATCTGCGATAAGCCCCCAAATTTGCATTTCTAACAAGTTTCCAGTGCTGCTATTGCTGACTGAGAAACAATCCCACCAAAAAGTAAAGTGGATGTTCAACACGTAAGTTCCACTACAGGGATGGTAGGTAGTGTGAGGAGCTCAGCAACCCGCTGGGAAGTTGATGCTGGGAGATACATAAATGTTTATTCTTCAAGTTTATTCATTGTTCCACCAAGTCCTTAGTGCAGCTGGAGTGACTGATTCCTGAGGAGGTGTATGATAACAGACTGGCAACTACTGACAGAAGCATCTGTTATTAGCACATTATTTTTTTAAAAACGCAATGGGGAAATAACTCTAATCATATGCCTCTTTGCAATAAGATCTGGAATGAGAGAA